AGCAGCGACAGTCAATGACCTGATACTTCTAAGGAAAAGGATAGAGCAAAAGGCTGCAGTGCCTGGGGAGTACAAAACCCTTATAACCTACCATACCACCTAATCTGGACGTACATAATTAAACTGTGGAGTACAACCAACCTCCAAAAAATCCATCAATTCCAAAATCCTTCAAATCATTGCTCAAGATCTCTTTATACAATCTTTACTATTCACACGGACCTTCATATCCCATTTGACTACAATACCGCACGTAGTCGATAGAAATGCTTTCATGAAACCCTCCCTCGTCCCTCGTACCAAACCTTTCATTTCGAACCCTTCCAGACAGTCCTTTAAGAAGCCAAATTGAATAGGCTGTGATAGGAGTATAATTAATGGATTACTTCTCAAACTTATAATTTTCTAATACGTAAAGAAAACAAAGTTATTTGTAGCTCTCTACCATAATTGTAAAATTTAAAAAAATTATCACTTGGTTAAATTTCAACAAAGTATTACCAACTTAACTTCCACGTTGAATAAGTGGTCGCATCAGAAATAAATTGCCTACCTCATGACAGCTTTCTATTTTATTTAACGCCGTCTGTCCCGACATCAAATAAGGACAATTATCGCCTTGGATTTTTCGATAAAATCGGACCCAACTAGTTGTCCTTTAAATATCTCAGACATCCCTAATGTCTATTAGGCTTACGCAACTTGAAAGGTTTCCATTATTCGTGATAAATTTCACACAACGATCTAGATCCATTTTTATTGGGTTGAAGTGTAAAAACAAATGTTATTCATAGCAAATCATTTCAACTGTATGAATATTCAAAAAAAGATAGAAGGTTGAGGTGTTGAGCAACAATCAATAATTATTTTAAATTAAGTAAAACTAATTAATATAATTATGCATACATGTACCATATTCATTATTAGACATATTTATATGCATTTGAGATATTTAAAGAACGACGAAACGGAATCTAATAAATGATTTTCAGGCGAACCAGGTTAAATAAAAAAGTAAAAATGTCAGCTATAAATTATGCAAATAATTGAACAATTACCCAAACCTTATGTATTATGAAAAAAATATTATCGTATTTAAAGGTAGAGGGAATTCCCTGGTAAATGGCACTACAAACAATACAAATTATAATTAAAAAGAAAATCAATGTGAAAATACTAAGGGGAAGAGTATTACAAAACAACAATGCAGTTCAAATTAATAAAGGTGATTTCAGTCTAAAAAATGTATCCTTGATTCCTTCCAATTATGGCCTCGTTCAATTAACAAGTATTATCAACCCGTACTATAAATTAACTTTTTTTTTCTTTTGGATTTATTTAAGATCCGTTTAATCAAGTGTAGCGTAGGAAAACGATTTAGGTGATAGATGATTAAGGGTTTCGAAACCAAAGGAATTTTAAGTCCTGGAGCAAGTTGACAGTCAGAGGAACGATCCAAATCCTCAAAAACTTATGACCGTGAAAGCCCCCTTTAGTAGGGTGAAAGTTCCGTGGCCGGCTTTGTTTCCGACGGATTAAAAGGAACAATTAATCGATACGGTTTATAACGATGATTCAAAAAAAGAAAAAAAACACAGGACGTAATAAAAAATATCTCAGCTTAGCAAAACACCTGTTGGATGGTGTCCAGACGATGCATAGCGACCACTTCATATTTGTCTGCTCCGCTCTTGGTTAACGACCTTTGCTTTATGAGTCGGTTTGAAATATTTTCAGAGCTTAGATCTTTCGGCATGCTTTTTACGTTTGTTTGGGTCATGAATAAAATTCAAAGAATTCTTCCTTTTACTACGTTTAATAAAAACCGATTTCATAAGGTGAATATGTATATGTATGAGTACAGAAAATTGATGGTTTGATGTTGTCAGCTAAAACAATAATATTATACAACAATTTTTGCGTTAATCAATTATATTATATTTGTTATATATTATAAAGATGAATATTAAGTACGCAAAATAGGTTTTTTTGACAATTTTATTTTAACCTACAAGGTACTCGGATTTCTCTTGAATAATTTCTAAACTGCAAAATTGAAGAAAAGACTATTCTGTACTATCAAATGTGTTTATCTGGTGCCAATTACTGGATTTATAGTTGAAAATAGATGAAAAGGGATAAGAGGAAATTTGACCATAGTTTGGCTTTGATCCAGAAAAAAACAGTTCATTAATCAATTTTTAGCATAATCAATAAGTACGGAGTGCATGCCAGCCCGACATAATAAATAAAACGAGTCTTGAACAGTTCAAAGCTACACATAGGGTCGCTGGCCAAGCCGGATTGTCAGAAATTGATCGAGTATGAGCAAAATATGTTGGACCATGTTACGATTTAATATCTATCGATTTGATCAATGCAAAATCGCGTTTGTCTCTATATGAAGTAAAATGCAAATTAAAAACATTTCTGTATTTTTTTATACTGAAAAGTGACAATGACAGAATAAAAAGGACGTGGAGACACAAAGCTTTTCGTATCATTAGTTAGCGTTCTTCAAGTATATTATGTATATTTATTTCTTTGTGATTTTTTCTGGATTATTTGTTTTGCATTTATTTTAAACGTTTGATTGATATGTCTCATTTGCTTTTGTTTTTACCTTTACTTTATGTTTTTATTTCTTTGAAGTTTGCGGTGGTTTTGTATCTTAACTTGGCTTTATATCACTCTTTTTTCACCATTAGTTGATGTTCTTCGAGATTTATTATGTGTGTATATTTTGGTTTGTAAGTTTTTGTTTGGATTATTTGATTTGTTTACTGCGCAATTGTTTTGTTTACTTTTGATTGCTATGTTTGTTTTGCGTTTGATTTGATCTATAATTTGTTTTTATTTTTTTGAAGTTTACGATGACTTTACAGTGTTTAGTATGTTTGCAACTATTGATGAAGTGAGTGATTTCTTTGTATATTTTTGTTTTATGATTAAATTGTTCTTTTTTTGAACAGTCACAATAATTTTCCGTGCTTAGAGTACCTATTTGTTTTGTCGTTTTTATTTTGAGCTTGTTTTATTACTAATGTGTATTAGGCGACGTGGAATTTTGTTGGATGGCAAAACAGTAGGTGGTGTGGAAATTTTGGAAGCAAGATAGGATTCGCTCGTTGACCAATGGAAAGTTCAGTTCGATGTATAGTTAGGTCAGTGACTTAGTAAGGAGCATTGACAGTTTGTCTAAGGACTTTTGATTGGAAATATTGGATTCGTTGGATATTGGATGGCTTGGTGATACCCCACAGCTCTTTCAGTATGTTACCCATGACGGTCAAAACAGATTCTGTAACAATCTGCTCTCTTAGTATAGTCCGAATATCTGATTTGAGTGTTTGTTGTTGATGTACAATGGAGGGCATGACTGGTATATTTGTCCTCAGTCAGTCTTGCTCTGCTTCGTCTGCTTTGATAAAATCAAGGCATTATTGGATGTGGGAGATTGCTTGAGGTTAGAGGACAGAATTGCGCTGTCATCCCCGCGTAGTAATGAAGGTGTTGGGATGTATGTATAAGAAAACCAGCAGTATACAGGAATGCTGCCTTGTGGGACGCCGGCTTGTAACGGTCTGATATCTGAGTATTATTTGCCGCAGATCACTCTGAAGTAGGGTTAGTTAAATATGATTCCAGTGTATCGTAATAAGGAGAGAGTAGGAAGAGTTTAAATTTATAAAGGATATGCGAGCCAGATCTTACCCAAAGCCTGAGCCACATCCAGCAATGCACAACAAGCAATACTTTTTGTTCTGTCGGGCAGAGAAAATGGTGTCAACGACTCTGAAACTTGCTGTATTGTGTAATGTGGGGATGTAAGCAGATACGGTGAGAAGGAATTCTATATGAACGTTGAATGGTGTTTTTAATATTTTTTTAGGAGGGTTCGCAACAGTAGAGGCTATATCAACTCTCGGGGTACCGGTGTTTTTGAAATTTTGTAAGTATGTTTGGTTCGAATGCAGAGCCGCTGGATTCGAACCTGGGACCTTTACCTTACAGAGATGAGCGCCTAAACCGCCACCGACACCCCTTAAGATGGGTATTGAATCTTTTAAAAGGAGTATTTCGGAGATTTTGGACATCATAGAAAGAAGGCTATTGGGTCTTGTAGGAGGGTGCATGGTTGGGAGGCTTGTGAATTTTAGGAACGCTATGATTAACTCAAAGTCGAAAATATAACGCCAAAATTACTATGCTTCTTAGGAAGGTTTCGAAATATTGTGGAGATAATTAGGTCATGTCCAGGCGATTTTCTACTTGAGAGTTTGGGTTTGTAGTACTTAACTTCAGAAGGATGGATAGATTTGGGAGGTATTAAGGAGAAGTGATATACCAAGGTCTTGCTTTACTTGTTATACTTAAGGTTAAGGTGTTATTTATGTTTAGATGAAGAGTAAAGGTACATTTTAAATCGTTTACAATTAGATTTGTGTTTTTACTTATGTTGTGTATGTATTAGCTGTGTACTTTATGATTATTTTGTTAGTTTTATGAATGACTTTGCCTTTTATCGTTTATATTTTTACAGTGCTTGGTATATTGTAAAAATAATTAGCACGCTTTGTAATTTACTTGTGTTCCTGTGAATGAAAATACTTTTAAATACCGGTTAAATTGTATACTTTCAACTATGATTTGGGGACCGCGGTAGCCGAGTGGTTAGCATGAGAGACTCTCACGCCGCGGTCGTGGGTTCGATTCCCACCGTTGCCCCTGGCCCTTTTTTCCCAATAACCCCCCGAATTTGAACACACATATACGAAATTGTCACATGGCTAATATGCATAGTTAAAAAAAAAAAAAAAAAAAAAAAAAAAAAAAAAAAAAAAAAAAAAAAAAAAAAAAAAAAAAAAAAACTATGATTTGTTATTTTCACTATTTTGGTCTATCAATTATGTATAATAATATTTCAATTTTAAGTGAACTCAATTTTAAAAGAAAAATTTAGTTAGTATAGGTGGCTTAAAGTTTAAAACGCTACTTACCGCAATGAAGATGATGTGGATGGCAATGCGCATAGTCTCAGCGCTCACTCATTTCGTCTTTGCCCCTGAAATAACATTTTATTACAATTTAATTAAATATGTTTTCATTGACTCGATACAACTGTAATGATAAAACTGCGTCAATAACTTTCAATATATTGACAGCAAGAAAGTAGACCTTTCGTAACTTTTGGTTAAGATTAAAGATCAATTTTTTTTCTGAAAAGACATGTATTTTTATTATTCTGCATATCATGTAGCATAATGTTTTTTACACTATTTATTTTATTTAACGTTTATTTCATGGTAAAACTTGTTTGTAGATAAATATTCTCCGACCCTTCCACTTGATTAGGCTATTTGCCATACTTATACATATTACTATAATTTGTTGAAGTCTTGAGGAGCGGTCAAGAATGAGGTAGTTTAGAAAAAATACCTCGTTCATTTTTTTTGCTGATATTTCGACCTTTATTGTTGTGTGAAATTGTTGTGACATTCTGACCCGAATAAAAGTCGAAACTACATCATTCTTGATCGCTCAGGACTTCAATAAATTATGAAACAACAGGTCACTAAGAAATACAAATATATTATTATACTTAAGTTAAGATGCAATAGAATGGAGTGCAAAATTTCAAATTTGCTCTTAATAAAACAGTGAGTGTTTTTCTACGCTTGCATGAATTTTTTTATTTGATGTTCACACCCAGATATTTATTCTCTGTTTAGAAATTTTAAAATAATTAATAAAAAATAAAGACGTAGCTCTCGAAATGACATTAAAAGTACAGTAATTGGCTTCAAATTGAAGGAAAAGGGTGTAATTATTGCCTGAGAGAAGAGAACCCTCCTTTTCCTGAAAGTCGCCGACACGCACAGACTTGATTTAATGCTTTCAGATTTGACGCCATTGATTAAGAGGTCTCGAATAACATTTAGTTTTTGTCCGAGTCGTAAGTAATTGAGATCTGATACAACACCGCTTCGGGCAATTAGGTGATGCTGAATGAACCGTTTTTAACCGTCTTGGAACACAACCATCTTATTAGAATAGATGAATCTTACAAGTGCCTCCTGACCACAGATTGCCACGTACAAAGGGTCGGCTGGAGAAGAAATGTATATTCACTTTTCATTAACCGTAATTAATCATTTGACCGATTTGTACAAGGTGAGAGTCGGGAAGGGAGTACTGACACGATATTCTAACCTGGTCAAAGGTCCGTGTTTTATGATTTTAATAACTATCAATTTAAGCTAAGCAGAAATTTGTCAGCAGTTAAATCGTCCCTGATCATCCTGATTATAATTACCAGGAGACACCACTGATGGTTCGTGAATTGTCTCTAGTGCGTATCCAATTAAATCTGTCTGGTTGGTGTCTGTATTTTGAAACAATTAACATTATATTCAATAATATTATTTAAAAAATGAAAATGACAAAAAGAAGGAAAATTCAAACGGTTGTAGGTTGGGATGGAGAGTCGGTTCCGGAGAGGATCGAAGTCACGATAGCTCAAGTGGTAAAGTAGCGGCGTATTTAGCCGAAGGTCGTGGGTTCGAATCCCGCTCGTGAACTGACTTTTTATCTCCTTTAATTAGTTAATTAGGATTAATATCATTAAAGTTAACTTGTGTGAATTTTTTTCTTACATATATATGAAATAATGACATCTGATTTGCAAATGCTATACCTCTTAACAAACTTTTTCGCCAATATGTTTAAAAAAATAGAGATTCTATAAAACTGTAAAACTTGAAACACTGAAGACGGTGAAATGCCCAAACGACGTCTGGCTGATCAACCCAGGGAAGATAGGCTAACCAAAATGATCTGTACCGACCAAATTACCAATTTGCTTACTGGGCACTACCTTAAATGCTTAAAAAACAAATTCCAGTGCTTTAGACTTATAAGTTTTAAAAATAAATCATGCTTAGTTTAGCAAGTTAAAGCACGTGAACGGGAATAATTCTCAACAAGATTTTACAGTTGTAGAAAACCATAAAAGGGGAATATTCTAAATGGGCAGTCTTGTAGGAAAGAAAAGTTCTCAAGTTCTCCAATGTGACTTAGCCCCATAATTACTGACATTACCGTATTTCCCACCAATGCTGAATTTCTTCTTTCTCAGTTATGCGTGTTTGGTCATAGAAATTATAGATTTAAATTCTTCAAGAGTGGGAAGGGGAACATGACACACTCGTGATGGCTCCACCATTCTTATCTGGTTCAACTAGGAACATTTCCACCAACGTCTCACGACGAGGGCCGCATACCGCTTTCAATGCGCTTACGTAACGCTCGGACAAGACAAATTTCGGGATTTATGTTTCAATGTTTCCGTCTTTTGATCTCTCTGAGGAAGATCGCCCTGTCTAACATTATCGACAATGATTTGTAATAATGCTCTACTCTAATGGAAGAAATAAGTGATAATAATTTATTTAGATTTGATATGTCACTATTATACTGAAACGTACTGATTTATGATTCCGGAGCAATGCAAAAAAAAAAATCAAAACAATGACTTATCGGGTTTTTCTAAAATCCATTACGTTCATGATAAATGAATTTTTTCACAGCTCGACTCGGCTATTATAAAATAAAACGACAGGCAAGAAAATGGGAGCAAATTTAGCCTAAATAATTGAAGCAAATTAATGACTTCCCACTTTAGGTTCGGTTTAATATTCTATATGTTGAACAAGAAAAATGGCAACTAATTTACTCGCTTTAAACCAATGAACACTAACGAACATATTATAATGTTGATCTTCAAACATAACAAATAGGCAAAATAATATAAATAAACTAAGTTATATCAGAAATATCAGTTTTGAAAAACTAGTAAAAACATACCACCCACCTATTCAGGCTGGTTACTTCTCTATAGTTTGATAAGAAAAACCTAGCAATAGAAAAAAATAAATAAAGCAGAGGAGATATATGAAGAATGAAGAATTTGGAAATAGGTGTAAATTAAGCAAAAATAATAGTAGAAGGGTCATTTGCTTGATACAATTTATTATTATACGAAAACGGACTGTGAATGATAACGACAATACTTCAGGAAGTAATTCAACATGTCAAATTGTACAAAAATGTCCCTATTGTACAACGTCTGATTCTCAATTATATTCGAGATATTTTACTTGCCAGGTTACTTCAAACTTTCCCAACTTTTTTTCTATAATGTCCCCCTATTATCATTAATTATTAAACCTGAATACACGAATAAATGGAGTATTGAAAATTCTATGAAATTTAGTTGATTCTTTATTGAAACCTTAGGCAGATACATCACTTCGAAGATAAATTTTACGGGTTGTCATCGTCTTGTTTAAAGTTTAAATAAGAAATTCTTGGTTCTGCGGATACTGGAATATAAGGCGCTTACAGAAAAGGTGCTCTTACAAGTCAGCTGTAAACACTGTTTATTGTATTTTATTGTTCAAAGATCAGTTATCACCAATGTAAAATTAACATAAAATCACGCCTAAATGAAGCCCATGGTCTATCGACAAGGTTTATTTTATTTATTTTTTTTTTACGAGGGTTCGCAACAGCAGAGGTCATATAAACCCTCAGGGTGCCGGTGTTTTTGAAAAAAAGCCCATTTGTAAGTATGTCGAATTCGAATGCAGGGCCGCTGGATTCCAACCCGGGACCTTTACCTTACAGTGATGAGCGCCGTGTCAAAGACTAAACCTTACGGCCACCGACGCCCCCAAGGTTTATTTTAGCCTCCATTTTATGCAGTTTATCCTAAACACACTTATTTTTTACTCATTCTTAAATACATTACAAAAAGGAAATTTCTTATTTACATACCATTTATCCATCACCCTTTATGCATACTATACATGGTGTTCGGCTACTCGTGTTACAAACAATGCCAGTAGATTTTACATTCAAAATAGAACTAAAAAGTTCTTAACTATCGTTCGTACCTCAAGAGTTTCGGAGTTATTCCACTTTTTCTGATTTTTTAAGATTTCACGGTCTTGCTTCAAATAGACAATAACTCCCAAACTAAAAGGTTTTAGACAAATCCATTGATACCTTGAAAACTACGTTAAACGTCCAATAAGATGTGATCAATACTAAACTTGTAAAGGTTCGTGAAATAAGCGTTTTAGTAGCGAGAACCTCGAAATTTTTTTTTCAGAATTGAAAAATATACTAAGGTGATTCTAAACTACTATTTCTAAACCTCGAGATCAGGAAATTTCAGAAAACGTACCCCATTTAACTTCCTTTTTAGTGGTGTAATTTATTTTTTGAAAGATGAAGAAATTGACGGAGGAAAGGAAAAAACCGTGGCTGACGGATTGGTAAGGTGGAAAATTAAAAAAAAAACTTAAGGGAATTTTGAATGAATTTATTCTTATTTTTTTATAATTTGGGTTCGAAACCGAAATAGTGCAAGTGTTTACTTATTTACCAGCACGACTGCAACTTTGATTAAAAGCTTAATGTATTATTATTCTCCGGAATAAAAGAGTTTTAAGATTCAAAACGTTTTTCGTTGTCTATGTGACATCTTGTTAACACTATGGCTACTTTTTCTAATGAAGAACACGCTGATGTACATCTTACGTACGGGTTTTGCGGCTTTAATGCGACGGCAGCGAGCCGAAAATACATTGCGGAGGGTGGAGAGCATTTTGAATCAAAATTAAAAAAGGCTTAATAAATTTTTTCAAAATTTCAATTCAAGCTTTTTATTATTATTAATCTTTCCACTTTACCAAATCCTTCAACCATGGTTTTTTCTTTACCTTCATCAATGTCTTCATCCTTGAAAATAATAATTTAAAAAAAATTACACCACTAAAAAGGATATTAAATAGAGTACTCTGAAATTTGCTGGTTTCTACGTTTGGAAATAGTACTTTAGAATCACCATACTACGTTTTTCAACTTTGAAAATGAAATATATTTCGAAGTTCTCGCTAGTAAAACTCTTATTTCACGAAGGTTTACAAGTATTGATCATATCTTATTGGAAATTTAACGTAGTTTTCAATGGTTTCAACAGTTTTGGAGGTATCATTG